TTTTTTTGATTTTGATTTTATTCTGATTCGGGTTTTTTAATGTAGGGAGTTGGTGACTTTCTGAGCCGGTGAAATATTGCTGCTGACTGGTGACGTGGTGGGTAAGGTGACCGGAGATAACCTGTTTACGAAGCTTTGTAGGGTACGTGGAAGGTTACTATTGGATGAGGGGCGTCATCGAGACGCGTGTGTACATGGGGAAGTTTTGTGGTGCGGCGGGTGCATCAACGTCAACATTTTTATTTTTCTCCACATGGCAATGGCAATGGGCCAATGGCAATGGCAATGGCAATGATGTATATAATTCACGAATACGCTAAGTCTACGTAGTTGTTTCTAGTGCTTCGAAATCATATTTGACGAAGAAATCATGATTCGTAATTAGGTTTGGACAAATAATATTGATATATTAATAATTAATAATTTAGGTTCAGACATTCTATAAATATTATTTTGTTAATTAAGGTATATAACTCTTTAATTCTTTGTAATTTTAGATAGTGGGATACTAAGTGACTAATATATTTTTGACTTTTGATTTGTTTCCTTCAATTAGCTATTGAATTGTAAATGTATTTTAAAAGTTGATAACTTTTGTATTTATTATCGGTTTTACATATATAATATATCAAATTAATCATCTTTTGATGATCTTCGATTTGACATCCATATTGTATATATGAAATAAATAAATTATATTTATTTTTATAATAATAAATAATAATAATATTTATTAAAATTCATTAAAAAAAATTATTTCTCAATTGATATATTTATGTTTAATGTAGTTATATGTTGTAAGTTAAAAAATTATTATAATATAACACAAGTAAGTCGCAAAAATAAAAAGTGTCATACTAAATATATAATAATATATATATTTTTATAAAAGGTATTTAAATTTTTAACTACTTTTTCTCATCGATTTTAGATTTTAAGAAAAAATTAACAAGCACCCGTGTAATACACGGGCATTGTACTAGTTAAGTAAATATATATGAAAAGCACTCTCTAGAAATTTAAAAATAAGTGACGATTATTTTTCATCAGTTTTGCTATGGAGCCAGCGAATGACTCGATTTATAGAGTCATGCACACTTATTCACAAATAATATATTGACATGTGTCCTACAATGAATACACTTTGGACAAGTATCAATACATTAAGTGATAAATGTCTAATAAAAAACTATCTAATTGCTCTTTTTATCTTTTATAATGCATACTTCTTTTTTCCTTTTTTTTTTTTTTTCTTAATGTAATGTATACTTTCATTCATGCATATATTTGCTTTTAAACTAAACAAAATAAAATAATAAAGTAGTTTTTACAAAATTAATAAATAAAATAATAAAGTAGTTTTTACAAAATTAATAAACAAAATAAAACCATAAATTAATTTTTAAAAGACCGAGGGTGTATTTGTATAAAAAATAACTCAATCTATACTCGATTCACACTCAAAATCTAACTCAATCTCGCTATCTTCAATATTATCAATATAATTAGATAATATTAATTAAGCATTCTTACATGTCATATTAACCTTGATTCATTATTAATCCATTCACATTATATTAATTAATCATCACTTTACATCATATTTCTCCTATTTTTACGTCAAATCAACTTTAATTGTCTATATATATATATATATATATATATATAAATATTTGTATTTACTTAAAATAGTAATTAAATTCCCGCCTAAAAATTTCACTTTTCACCTTTATTAGTAATTTTGAAAAAAAAAAATTGAAAACTGGCAGTAATTTTTTTTAAATTAAATTAAAAAGTCAATTAATATTTGTACATAGTCATTGGTCAAATATTGTGACTATTACATTTATTAGTTGCATGGCTTAAGTTTTGTATATAGTATATTGACAAAAAAATATATATATTTTTTAAACTGACGAATGTAATGCTTCCCTACCCACAGTGGACACATGTTAATATGTTCATCGCTTATGTGACATGTATATATTGGTGATGCATTTTTTTAACATAAATACATTATGTCACATAAGCGGTGAACATATTAACAATGCCCACTGTGAGTAGGGGATAATTTTAAGACGAATGTATAATATTCTGTTTTGATGGCGTTACTACTTATTTACGGCATTACTACTTATTTAATATTTGTATTCAATTTTGCTATATTCGATTTTGGTAATTAAAAATTGTAGTGAAATATGTTTTACAAAATTTTTTCTGTTTAATAATTACTCTCAAATGTGTAATTAATATATAGTCTGGACTTTTTGGTTTAGTTTAACAATTATTAATTTTTTTTAAATATGATTTCAAATGTGTAAAATCCTAAATATGCACATGTATAATTAAACAATGTGCACATCGTATCTTAAAGTACGTATATATAACATTGATATTCTTTATTTGATAAACAAATGAATTTCAAATAATTTTTTAATTAACAAAAAATGGCTATAAACCATCCATGCAAATGATCTGTATGGTATAGGAAATTTATATTCACTTATATAAGTGAGTACTATATACTCATTTGATATCAAATGTTATAAAAATTTGAGAAGATAATACACTAAATTTGTTAAACCGTATTTTTCAAAGTCGAATTACTAGAAATTTAATCATTTAATGTCTTGTTTTAAGTGATTCAATTTTTATATATAATATTGTCAATTATTATCTTAGTTTAATTGATTCAATTTTTATGTATAATGTAAATAATAATATAATCGCGAATGTTTTACAAGATATAGATTACAACTATGTTAACAAAATATCTATACCCATGTGTATTGTAAATATATACACATGAACAATATATAGAATATATATTTCGTGAATATTTTATCAAATCTTCGAAGATAATAATGACCTATTATTTAGAAATATATTCCATAAGGAAGTAGCATATCATCTATGTTTACGGTGCTTTTTTTATTCCTACCGAATCTTTTTTAATCATCCCCTCTTCTATATATTAATTCAGAACGCGCTGAGCCTAATGCTTCGAAATCTTATGTGACAAAATTCATGCTTCGTTGTTAGGCTTGAGTAAATTTTAATTTAATTCCAAACAAAAAATAATTAGGTTTAAATTACCATAAATATGTTGATGATTTATGGTCATGTTACATGTATTAATTGCATTTTAATATCATTTCTTATTATAACTATTGAATTGTATATATATATTTTAAAAGTTAATAACTTTTGTATTTTTTATCAGTTTTACATATGTAATATATAAAATTAATCTTCTTTTGATGAGTTTCGATTTAACATTCATATTATATGTATAAGAAAATAATTTATATTTATCGTTATAACAATAATAAAATTATTTTTAATATTAATTAAAAAAAATAAAATTATTTATCAACTAATATATTTATATTTCAAGTAGTTATATGATTTAAGTTATAAAAAGAAATATAATATAACACATGTAAGGGTATGTTTGGTAACCCAAATAAGCTAGCTTATAGCTTATTTGGTTAGCTTATAAGCTCCATGTATTAAAATAAGCCTCGTTTGGTATGACGACTTTTTTTAAAAAGCTCGAGCTTATCCTATAAGCTACTTTAGGTAGCTTTTCAAATAAGCTAGTTCAATTTTTATATTTCAACTAGCTTAACAGCTAATTTACCAAACACTCTTATCATATAAGCTAATTTTTCAGCTATAAGTCATAAGCTATAAGCTATAAGCTCAAAAATTACATATAAGCTATAAGCAAGCTTATCAGCTATCAGCTATCAGCTAGCTTATCAGCTAGTTTTACCAAACATAGCCTAAGTCATAAGTAACACATATTACTCTAAAATATATAGTAATTTGTTTTGTAAAAAAGTAAACTAAATGTAATATAGTTTTTCTTATTAATTTTAAAATTTAAGAATATTTTTTTTAACAAGTACCCGTGTAATAAACGGGTGTTGTACTAGTAATTTTGTAATGTTGAATTACACTAATTTTAATAATATTATTTTGTTTTTTTGATACTGTATAAGATAATATCCTCCCTATATATAATTCCCGAATGCGCTGAGCCTACATGACTGCTTCTGGTGCTTCGGAATCCTATTTGGCGAAGAATCATGCTTCAGAATTAGGTTTGGATAAATAATATTGATATATTAATAATTAATAATCTAGGTTCGGGTATTCTCTAAATATTATTTAGCTAACCTAGGTATTTTAATATCACTTTTACTAATATAACCCTTTAATTCTTTGTAATTTTACATAGTGAGGCACTAAGTGACTAATATATCCTTGAATTTTGATTTGTTTCCTTCAATAAGCTAATGAATTATAAATGTATTTTAAAAGTTGATAATTTTTGTATTTCTTATCGGTTTTACATATATAATATATCAGTTAATCATTTTGATGATCTTCAATTTGACATCCATATTGTATATATGAAATCATTAAATTATATTTATCTTTATAATAATAAAAAATAATAATATTTATTAAAATTCATTAAAAAAATAAAATTATTTCTCAATTGATATATTTATATGTAATGTAGTTATATAGTGTAAGTTAAAAAAATTAGTATAATATAACACAAGTAAATTACACAAATAAAAAGTGTCATAATAAATATATAATAATATATATATTCTTATAAAAGGTATTCAAATTTTCAAATTACTTTTTCTCATTAATTTTAGATTTTAAGAAAAAAATTAGCAAGCATCCGTGTAATACACAGGTGTTGTACTAGTAAAATGATATAATCTTGAAAGTTGTACAAGATATAGATTAAATAAATATTGATTTTTTATTGTGCAGATCATGTACCAAAATTCTTC